GAAGCAAAGAGAAAACCAGAAGGAAGCGCGGAGGAGCTGTAAAAGCCCAAGGTACGGAGACGCGGCGTGCGGAGAGGACAGCCAGAGAGGAGGGAGGCTGAGTGCCTGGCTGGCGTTCCCTAGCAGGAAGGAGATAAAAGCTCCAACTGCTCTGAACCCCAGTTCTAGGCCAGACCCCGGGGACCCAGGCTCAAACAGACGGAGCTGGGCTGTAAGGCAGAACCCCAGGGGAGCGGCGAAAGGAGGTCCCGGAGGCGCGCACATTGTGCACAGAGAAGGGACAGTTGGCTGTGCTTCGGGATTGCCCTGGCGGGAAGGAGACAGGGGCTCCAGACTGCTCTGAATGTCACCTCCAACTCCACTTCCAACTGAACTGAACCCAATACCGAGCTCATTGGGGGAGAGCCTACACTGTTTGGTAGCAGGCGAAAAACGAGGGCACCTTTCTCTCAGAGGTGCTTGCAATGAGTACTGAAGGACCCTAAGACTCAGGAGCTGCATAGGGCGGGGCTGACGGAAGCCAAAGCTGTAGGCTCCACCCTGAAACCCCGCCCCATCAGGGAAGCTGCGAAAATGCCGAGACAAAATAGATCACAAATGAAAGAAATGGAGGACAAAAAGCGGCTGGATATAAAGTTCAAATCTACGCTTATAATGTTTTTCAAGAATTTCCTAGAAAAATCAATAAGACCTATGAGGATATGAAAAGGAGTCAACTAGAATTAATAAGGAATCAACAAGAAATGATAAGGGATCAACAAGAAATAAAGAATACATTGTCTGAAATAAAAAAACATTATACAGAGACCTAAAAACAGAATGGAAGATTGCAAGAATCAAGTCAAAGATTTGGAACATAAAGAGCCAGAAGACACTCCTCCACAGAAGCTAGAAGGCAAGAGAATCCAGAAAATTGAAGATAATGTAAGAAACCTCTGGGACAACTTCAAGCGAACCAACATTAGAATTATGGGGGTCCCAGAAGATGAGAGAGAGCAAGATATTGAAAACATACTGAAAGAAATAGTGACAGAAAACTTACCCCACCTGGTGAAAGAATTAGACTTACAAGTCCAGGAAGCGCACAGAACTCCAAACAAAAGGAATCCAAAAAGGACCACACCAAGACAAACCATAATTAAAATTCCAAGAGCAAAAGACAAAGAGAGAATATTAAAAGCAGCAAGAGCAAAGCAGGTAGTTACCTATAAAGGAGCACCTATATGATTGTCAGCTGATTTCTCAACAGAAACCATGCAGGCCAGATGGGAATAGCAAGAAATATTCAAGGTGATGAATAGTAAGAACCTACAGCCAAAGATAATCTATCCAGCAAAGCTATCACTCAGAATCGAAGGCCAGATAAAGAGCTTCACTAATAAAAAAAAGCTAAAGGAGTTCATCACCACCAAACCAGAATTATATGAATTGCTGAAGGGGGTTCTTTCAGAAGAGAAAGTAAATAAAGATAAAAATGATGAACAACAGATACGTAACTATCAACAAGTGAATCTAAAAACCAAGGAAATTTAAAAAAAAATCTGATGAACAATATTAACTGTTGAATATAATAGAATCAGAGGTATGAAAGGGGAGTGAAATGACGATTCTTGGGGAAAAAGGGAGTGGGGGATGTGGGAAGAGACTGAACATAAACTGTGCACCTATGGATGAGGACAATGGGGGTTGGGGAAAGAGCAGAGGGTTGGGTGGGAACCTGGTGGAGGAGAGCAATGTGGGGGGAGGAACATTTGTAATAATATGAACAATAAAAATTTATTAAAAAAAAAAAAAAAGATCTTCCAGTGGCACCAGGCGTGGGGCATGGGGTGTGGCCTAAACCCCCCCCCCCCCCCCAGTCAAGCCCTTCCAGGCAAGGGGTGTGGCCTGAGATCCCTGTCAAACCCCATTGGCAGGGGGCACAGCCTGAGGTCCCTCGCCCTGGCCAGGTGCCATGCAGCCTCAGGTCTCTGCTCTCCGATGGTGATGTTATGGCGTCGGGGCTAATTTGCATATTCCTCTATTATATAAATTGATGTCCAAAATTCAACTCCGGATTTACACTGCCTGCCTCCTAGAATCTTTCCTACCCCAGTAAATGGCAATTTCATCCTTCTTATTTCTAAAAGATCTTAATAGCCCTGGCTGGTGTTGCTCAGTGATTAGAGCGTTGGCCTGCACACAGGGGAGTTGTCGGTTCGATTCCCGGTCAGGGCACATGCCCAGGTTACATAGTGGAATCACTTGAGAAGCTTATAAATTTATTGATGCCTTCATCTCCACCGAGAACAGTGGTGGGAAACATCTGGCCGGCCGTATACAGCTGCAATTTCATTTCGTTTGGCTCTGCCACGGCTTTAGGGGTGAATTAATGAAATGTTTGGCTAAATATAGCAGGCTAATTTTTAAGTTGATAATGTTGTTTGGCCTGCAAATGATGTTATAAATATCCAAATGGCCCTTGGCAGAAAAAAGGTTCCCCACCCCTGTCCCAGAGATTGTAAAGTCTTTGGGTTGAGGTGTAGCCTGGGCATTGAGTTTTGTAAGCTCCCCAGGTAAGGCTGATATGCGGTTGAGAACCACTGCTCTTAAAATTCCCTTTCCCGTCTGAGGAACTCTCCACTTTCCCAGGTGATTGATACTGAGAATAAACTCACCTTTGAGATAAGGCCCCTGCCTACACGTAGGAGTATGTCTATATAGTGTTTCTCTACACAGGACCTCATCACCCAGAGATTCTGATTTAGTTGATGAGAAATCCAACTCGAGCCCTAACCTGTTTGGCTCAGTGGATAGAGCATCGGCCTGTGGACTGAAAGGTCCCAGGTTCAATTTCTGTCAAGGGCATGTACCTTAGCTGCGGGCACATTCCCAGTAGGAGGTGTGCAGGAAGCAGCTGATGGATGTTTCTCTCTCATCAATGTTTCTAACTCTCTATCCTTCTCCCTTCCTCTCTGTAAAAAAATCAATAAAATATATTTAAAGAAAAGAAATCCAACTCAAGTACCTAATGTTTGAAAGTTCCCCCAGGTACACCATACACAAAAATAAACCCAAAATGGATACAGGACTTAAACATAAGATGGGAAACCATAAAAATACTAGAGGCATCCACAGGCAGCAAAATCTCAGACATATGCCAAAAAGAACAACTTCACTGATACTGTCCCTAGGGCAATGGAAGAGAAAGTAAGCAAATGGGACTATATAAAAATAAAAAGCTTTTTTACAGCAAAAGAAACCATCAACAAAACAATAAGAAAGCCCACTGTATGGGAGAACATATTTGCAAATGTTATCACTGATAAAGATTTAATTTCCAACATTTACAGACAGCTATACAACTTAATAAAAGGAAGATAAATGATCCAATTAAAAAATGGGCTATGGACCTAAATAGAATATTTTCAAAAGAAAACAGAAGGAAGGCCAAGAAAGAAGGAAGGCATATGAAAAAAAGTCACTAATTATCCGAGAGATGCAAATCAAAATGACAATGCGGTATCATCTCACACCTGTCAGAACGGCTATCATCAACAAATCAACAAACGACAAGTGTTGGCGAGGCTGCAGAGAAAAAGGAACCCTCATGCACTGCTGGTGGGAATGCAGACTGGTGCAACCGCTGTGAAGAACAGTATGGAGTTTCCTCAAAAACTGAAAATGGAACTCCCATTTGACCCAGTAATCCCACTCCTAGGAATATATCCCAAGAAACTAGAAACACCAATCAGAAAGGATATATGCACCCCTATGTTCATAGCAGCACAATCTACAATAGCCAGAATTTGGAAACAGCCTAGGTGCCCGTCAGCAGGTGATTGGATCAAAAAACCATGGTACATCTACACAATGGAATACTATGCTGTCATAAAAAAGAAGAAAATCTTATCATTTGCAGCAACCTGGATGGAATTGGAGAACATTATGCTGAGTGAAGTAACCCAGTCAATGAAAGAAAAACACTACATGATCTCACTCATTTATGGGTAATAAAGAACATTATAAACTGACGAACAAAAAGATAGATACAGAGACAGTAAAACAATAAAAAGACAGTCAAATTACAGCAGGGAGGGTGGGGAGATATGAGGGAGATAGGAGATCAACCGAACGATTTGTATGCATGCATATAAGCATAACCAGTGGTCGCAAAACTCTGGGGAGGGAGGGCATGTATAGGAGTGGGGGGGGGCAATGGTAAGATATGTGCACATATAATACCTTAATAAAAAAATAAAGTAAAATATAAAAAATTTTTAAAAAGCCGAAACCAGTTTGGCTCAGTGGATAGAGCGTTGGCCTGCGGACTGAAAGGTCCCAGGTTCGATTCCGGTCAAGGGCATGTACATTGGTTGCGGGCACATCCCCGGTGGGGGATGTGCAGGAGGCAGCTGGTCGATGTATCTCTCGCATTGATGTTTCTAGTTCTCTATCCCTCTCCCTTCCCCTCTGTGAAAAATCAATAAAATTTTTTTTTTTTTAAGTTTAAGTTTAAAAATTTTGGCTCTCAAAAGAAATTAAAAAAAAAAAAAAAGTTCCCCCAGGGTGATTCTAACGTGCCGGGGTTTAGAATCATTGGGGGTATAGCCTTCAAGCCTATTGTCATACTTATATCTGAATATAGCATAGCAACTATTGCAGAATGTAATAGTAGTTTTGATAGTGGGATTGTGGTTACTTATTTTCTTTTGAGTTTACATTTTCTTTGTCCTTATATACCTTTGAGTGGAAAAAATATTTGGATGCACCCTTTTTCTGTATTTTTTTTTTCATGATTTCATTATCTCTTGGTCTTATACTATTTTTAAAAAAAATCCATTTTATATTAAGTTTTGACTACCAGCCCTTTTTTTAGTGTTGTTTTTTTTTTAAATGGTCTTTTAACATGTAAATCAGCTTGAAGAGTTTCCTGTACATTTTATTGGCCTTTTCTTATCTACAATTGAAATGCATGTTTATGTAGAGATTTTATATTTATTTTTTCTGTGTTGTCAAAGTTCTAAGAAGCTGGAGGGTGAAACTAGTACATCTGAGGAATGGATAGACCAAATCATGCAGAGCTGTGGTGACAATAGTAATCGTGAGGGCGGAAGATGCCACTGGAGTGTGTTAAGCAGGTGAGAAACCATCAGTTTTGACCGATAGGGAAATTACTTGAGCTGTGAGACGGTAGAAGGATTGGAGAGGAGCAGAAGAGGAAAGGAAAATAGTACCTGAGAGGCTGTCATAGAAGTCAAGAGCAGAAATCAGTAGGAAAAAAATGCAACAAAACTAAAAAGCTGATTTTTTTGAAATATTAATAGAATTGAAAAACCTCTTGCTGGGTTAACCAAGGGGGAAAAAAAATAGAACGATACAAATTACTGATATCAGAAATGAAAAAGAGATCATCATTACCGATCCCATGGATCAGTATGTTATGAACAACTTCGTGCCTACAAATAGTAAAGGAATATTATGAATAACTTTATGCCTACAAATTTTATAACCTATATGCAATGGACCAATTTCTTAGAAGACACAAACTTATCAAAATTCACACGGGAAGAAATAAATCATCTGAATAGGTCTCTCTATTAAAGAAATTGAATCCATAATTAATAACCTTCCAAAACAGAAAACATTAGGCTCAGCTGGTTTCACTGGTGAATTCTGTCAAACATTTAAGGAAAAGATGGTAGCAGTTCTCTACAGCCTGTTCCAGAAAATGTAAGCAAAGGGAACACTTCCTCACTTGTTCTGTAAAGCCTGCATTACTTTAAAACCAAAACCAGAGAAAGAAATGTAAGAGAAGAAAACCACAGATTAATACCTCTCATGAACATCATGTAAAAATCCTCAATAAAATATTAGCATATTGAACACAACAATGTATAAAAGGAGTCACACACCACAGCTAAATGGGATTTGTTTCAGATACACCAATTACAATAGAAATGCAGTAATTATAAAATCAATTGCTATATTCCATCACATCCACAAGGCTAAAAAAGAAAAATCATTTGATTATATCTATAAGTTACAGAATAAGCATTGATACAGGCCACATCCAATTGTTTTGTTTTGTTTTGTTTTAGGAAAAACTCTCAGAAAACTAGGAAAGAGAGAAACTTTCTCACTTTGATAAAGATCACCTACAAAAATCTATAGTTAAAATTACCCTTAATGATGAGAAACTAGATGCTTTTCCCTAAAACTGGAAAAGACAAGCTTGTTCACTTTCACCATTCCTATTCAACATTATATTGAAAGCTCTAATTCAATCATATAATAAAAGAAAGAAAAGGTATAGAGATTAGGAAGGTAGAAATAAAATTGTCTTTGTTCACAGGCATGTCTATGTAGGAAATCCTAGAGAATTGGGGTTTTGTGGAACTAATTAGCAATTATAGCAAGATCGCAGGATATAAGGTTAATATACAAAAGTCAGTTGCTTTTCTACATACTAGCAAGTAAAGAATTGGAATTTGAAATTAAAAACACAATATTAGCCCTAGCCAGTTTGGCTCAGTGGATAGAACATCAGCCTGTGGACTGAAGGGTCCTGAGTTTCATTCCAGGCAAGGGCACATGCCCAGGTTGCAGGCTTAATCCCCAGTTGGGGGCAGGCAGGAGGCAGCTGATCAGTGATTCTCTCTCATCACTGATGTGTCTTTCTCTCCCTCTCTGAAATCAATGAAAATATATTTAAAAACAAAACACAATATTATTTACATGAACATACACAAAGAAATACTTAGGTATAAATCTGACAAAATACACTTACATATATATGGAAAACTACAAAACTCTAATGAAAGATTAAAAAAAAAAAAACACCCACTAGATAAATGGAGATGTATTCTATGTTCATGGATTAGAAGACTCGATATTGTTGAAATGTCAGTTCTTCTGAACATGATCTGTAGATTCAACATAATTGGTGAATTATGTGTTAGAGTGCACCACAGAGTCGCAGATTCATCTCCTGGTCAGAGGCATGTACCTCGGTTGCATGGATTGAATGGCCCTGGTTGTGGTGTGTGCATTAGGCAAGCAATTGATCTGTCTCTCTCACATCAACATTTTTTTCCCCTCTCTCCCCTCCTCCTCTTTCTCTCCCTCTCCCCTCCCCATCTTCCCTTGCACTCCCTCTAAAGATCAATGGAGAAAATATCCTTGGATGAGGACAACAATAGCAACATTGAAAACCCCAGCGAGTTATTTAGTTGATAGCAACAAACTTTATTTTTTAATTTTATTTTTTAAAATTATTTTTTATTAAATTATTATCTTTGTACATATACCATTGCCCCCCCCCATATATGCCCTTCCTCCCAAGAGTTTTTTTTTTCATAATTCCATTTATTTATTTATTTTTTAAATATATTTTATTGATTTTTTTTTCTCCTCTCCCTCCCTCCCACACATCCCCTCCCTCCCCAGAGTTTTGTGTCCATTGGTTGTACTTATATGCATGTATATAAGTCCTTCAGTTGATCTCTTATCTCCCCCAGATCTCCCTAACCCCCTGCTGTAATTTGATAGCCTGCTTGTTGCTTTACTGTCTCTATATCTATCTTTTGGTTCTTCAGCTTATAATGTTCTTTAGCATCCATAAATAAGTGAGGTCATATGGTGTTTCTCTTTCATTGACTGGCTTGTTTCACTCAGCATGATGTTCTCCAATTCCATCCAGGTTGCTGCAAATGATGAGAATTTCTTTTTTATGGCAGCATAATATTTCATTGTGTAGATGTACTATAGTTTTTGGATCCAATCATCTGCTGATGGGCATCTAGGCTGTTTCCAAATCCTAGCTATTGTAAATTGTGCTGCTATGAACATAGGGGTGTATATATCCTTTCTGATTGGTGTTTCTAGCTTCTTGGGATATATTCCTACTGGGTTAAATAGGAGTTCCATTTTCAATTTTTTGAGGAAGCTCCATAGTTTACTAGAGGCCTGGTGCATGAAATTCATGCTCAGGAAGGGTACCTAGGCCTGGCCTGCAATCAGGGCCAATCTTCCGCAGCTGCCAGCAGCAGGCCCCACCCCCCTGTTGGCAGCCCTCTGTGCACTGCCTTGGCCTGGCACCACCCACTTTCGCCGCCACCCACCCTCAGTTTCCCCATTCCCCGTCAGGCAATCAGAGCCTGCTGGCAGTGGGGAGGGACCGAGAGGTTGGCTGGCAGGCCCGTGATTGGGGCCTGAGGGCTGGGGGCAGCTCCTGCGTTGAGCATTTACCCCCTGGTGGTCAGTGCACATCATAGCAACGGGTCATTTCACTGTCAGGTCGATTTGCATATTACACTTTTATTATATAGGATATGGAAAGGCAAAAGACCCAAAATAACCTGTGTAATGCTAACAAAGAACGAAGTTGAGGGACCGAAGCTACATGACTTCAGACTTACAATAATGCTACAGTAATCAAGTATTCTGTTCCATGCTATTGGTAATAGAATAGAGAGCATAGAAGTAGACATACACAAATATACAGATGCTCCTCGACTTATTGTTGAAAATATTGTTAAGTCGAAAGTGTATGTAATATACCTAACCTACCAAACATCATAGTTTAGCCTAACCTATCTTAAACATGCTCAGAACACAATATCCCCAAAATGCTGGCAGCATAGTACATCGCGGAGTATCAGTTATTTACCATTGCAGTCACCTGTCTGCCTGGGAGACACAGCTTGCTGCTGCTGCCCAGCATAAGAGCGAGTGTCATACATTATGGCTAGCCTACAGCTGACATCATACTCAGTGGTGAAAAACTGGAAATTTTTTCCTCTACAGTCAGGAAAAAGATAAGGATGCTCACTCTTTCTTATTCATCTAGTACTGAAAGTCCTAGTCAAAGTAATTGGGCAAGAAAAAAAGAAATAAAAGGCACCCAAATCCAAAACAAAGTAAGACTGTCAGTAGTTGCAGATAACAAGATATAAAAAAAACCCTTAAAAACCCACCGTAAAACTGTTAGAAGTATTAAACAGATTTAGTAAAGTTGCAGGATACAAAATCAATACGCAAAAACCAGTTGCATTTCTATACACAAATAATGAACTGTAAGAAATTAAGAAAATAGCCCATCCTATTTACAATTTGCATCAAAGAGAATAAAATACCTAGGAATAAGTTTAAGGAGGCAAAAGACCCAGACACTAAAAACCATAAGACATCCATGAAAGAAACTGAAGAGGACACAACTAAATGGAAAAATACGCATCTCACGGATTGGAAGAATATTGTTAAAATGTCCATACTCCTGAAAGTGATCTACAGACTGAATGCAGTCCCTATAAAAAAATTCCCATTTGCAATTTTATAGTTTAGACATGGAACAACACATCTTTCAACCATGCCCTCTGGGTCTAAGGGCTATACTGTCTCAGAGGATTATTGTAAAGCTAAATTAGATAATTAGGTCAACTGTCTGGCACATGGTTTATGCTCAATAAATCTTAGTTTCTTTGCTCTTTTCAGTACCACCCAGAAAGAGGATGTGTCTTAATTTTCAAAGAAATGAGATTGAATTGGAGTGGTCACAACAATTTTCTCTCTGGCGGAGAGTCTGTGAGAATTGCCTACAGAGCTCAGGCTAAGCAAGAGCTTACTGGATGGAAGAGCATGCTAACCCGTCAAAATGAAACACTTTGCAAGACCTGGAGATGAAGTTAAACTGCAGTCATCACTGAATCAGACAGTAGAGGGGCCTGGTATGTTGAAAAGATGTTGCTGTGCCCAGTCCCCAGAGATGGAAAGCAGGGCCTCCAGTGCTGAGAAATACCACAAATTCCAGATGGCTCAGATCAAGTAGTTCCTCTTAAAGTGATGGAAGAAACATGAGCGCGTTGTCGAGTTTATCGCTGATCACTGTGAGGCAGAAACTGTATAGAAGCCCACGTCTGCTCTGGAGTTCGCAAAGAGAAGCTGTATAAAAGCCCACATCTGCTCTGGAGTTCATAATTCTACTCATGATACCTCAGGGTGGGATTGACAGCACCCCGAATGTGAGTGAACGAAGAGACTCATGGTATTACAAGAGCTAGCAGACCTGTAACAATGGGGCCATGTAACAGTGGAGGGGAGAGGGAGTCAGAGGAGTTAAAATTGTCCTTAAGAAGAAAAG